AGAAAGCGAGAAATCACCACCCAGGGGGGATGGCCACGCCGCAATCCCTTCTCCTCCATTCTCCTCTCGGGATCATGGGCACGCATGCACACGCACCGGCGTGAGTTTAAGCCACCGGGTCCGGGACTTGAACCGTGGTCGACTTCATAGGAGTTCAGTGACATAGCCATTACGCTAACTGCTGGTTCTCCCCGATAGAAAAGTTTTAAAGCAGGGGACAGGGTAACACAGCTGTGACGAGGGCTTGCAGCTACTGGGAGACCAGACTGCTATTTCTGGGTCAATTTCTTTTCTTTTTTTAAAAAATATTTATTTATTTATTTAATTTGTTATTGTTATTATTTTTTTAACTTGACCAGAGAGAGACAGAAAAAGTGAGAAAGCAAACCACCAGGTCTGGGACTTGAACCATGGTCGATCATATGGGAGTCCAGCATTCTAACCACCACGCCACCTGCCTAAACCTCTGGGTCAATTTCTTATACTTCATCCTGCCCTCCTGTTCCTGGCCCCAGGAATCTCAGAAGGAGATTAACCTGCCAGGCTAAGACCTTCCCTTTCCCTCCATGCTTCCATCCTTGGACAGGTAGGTTGAGCAGAGAAAGGGGCAGTGTCTGACAGAGACCATGGCTCTGACATCAAAATGCTGAGTGAGGGACCAGCAGTTAGCGTAATGGCTATATCACTGAACCCCTATGTAGCTGACCGCGGTTCGAGTCCCAGACCCAGTGGCTTAAACTCACTCCGGGCGCGTGTGCGTGCGTGCCCAAGATCCCACGAGGAGAATGGAGGAGAAGGGATTGTGGCATGGCCATCCCCCTTGGGGGGTGATTTCTTGCTTTCTATCTCTGTCTCTCTCTGTCTTTCCTGCGAGCACACATACCCTATAGCAAAAAAAATACTCTAAAAAAAAAAAAAAACGGTGAGTGATTCTTTAGGTCCTGAGCTCTCTCTGGCTGCTGAGGTTTATTTATTTATTTTCTTTTAGTTGTGAGCGTTGGAAATGCAATTTTATATGGTCTAAGAAAGGAAATCTATTGATGATAATAAAGTCCAGGGGAGGTGGCCTACAGGCACAGCTGGATCCAGGTATCAAACAATGTTACAGGATACCTGGCTCCCTCTCAGTTTTGCAAGTTCTGTGTCACCTTCCTTTCAAGGAAGCCCTTTCTTCGTGGTGTAAGTGTTGGTCCCAAGAAGCTCAATGTGGCCCAGGGCTATGGTCCAGGATTCACTTTAATTTTCTGGGTCTGAGTCACAGGACCCATTCCGCATCAAATCACTGTGATTCTGATTGTTCAGTTGTCCTGACCCGGGGGACAGTCGAACAGGTTTGGGGTCATCCGTTTATTGTGGGCAGCATGGAGATGACACAGTGTTACAACTCTTCAAGGTTGTCCGGAGACGACGCGGTGTCACAACTCTTCAGGGTCTTCAGGGTCGTCTGGCGATTGTGGGTCAGGGATCGTGGTTATATACATGTTGGTGGGCAGTGATTGGTTGAATGAAGGATTGTAAAAGGTGGGTTATGATTGGTTGCTTTTGTGGACCAATCATGAGGTGCTGGATATGCAAATCTGAGGGATTCTAAGCTCACCGATTCGCTATGGGAAGTGGCCAATCAGAGTATGGTTTTGAAGGTGGGGTTCTGAAGGGGAGCCAATCATGGCCTTTATGGGACATGGCCAATCAGAGTGCGGTTTTGAAGGTGAGGCTTTGAAGGGGAGCCAATCATGGCCTTTGGCATTGTGTAATTGTTTGCTCTCTGAGAAACTGGTGATATTTAGCTGGTGCGCAGCCTCCCACATTCCGTCTAGGCCGGCCCGGGGCTCCCAGAAATGTTCTTTTTGGGGGTACAAAGCAATTTGATGGTTGAGAGCTTAGGCTTTGAATTCACAGAGACCTGGGTTCATATCTCAGGCATTCTACCCTTGTCTTGGAGACCCCTTGCAAGTAACTTCATCATCAGAAGACTTGGTCTATTTTTTTTTTTTTTAAGAGAGAGAGAGAGATTTGTTAGAGGGCACTTATACTTGCTGGAGAGACAGAGACAGAAAGTAAGAAATCCCCCCAAGGAGGGATGGCCATGCCACAGTCCATTCTCCTCCATGACCCTCTCGGGATTTGGGACATGCATGCACACGTGCCCGGTGTGAGTTTCAAGTCACTGTGTCCTGGATCGAACTATGATTGGCCATGCGGGAGTCATAACCGTTGTGCCATCTGCTGGTCCTCAAGCTTCAATTTGTTTTTATCTGGATGATGGGATGGAAGTGATCCCAGGAGAATGGGGCATTTGGGGTCTAAGTGGGGAATGATTTTCCTGACCCTGTAAATGGGGAACGTTGATGGTTGTGTTCTTAGCACGTGGGAAGGAAGCCCAGGAGGAGGCTCAGTACAGAGCAGATGACAAGCTGCTGGAAGGACCTCCCAGGTTGGGCTCAGGGCTGGGTCAGTGCCCTGTATGCCTTTCCCTCTGGCAGCCTGGAAGAGCATGGTTGGTCCTCTTTGTTCTTCAGATTCGGAGCTCAGAGGAAGGTCTCCTGTACACGCAGGGCCTGGCGATCACCTTCAGGGATGTTTGCTGCTGGTGGGTGGGGCCCTGGCATGCGGTCGTCCGCATCCTCCAACCCACCTACCTCAAGTCTTTGCTCCAGGTAGACCCTACACCAGCCACAGCTTGCCTGCTGTGAGGTCTCTGTGTTACCTGCAGCTGGCCAGGTGGCTCGAGGGCACACAGGAGGGCTGTGGTGGAGATGCCGCTGGCTCTGTGTCACCTGGGCGTCCACCTGTCTGACCTCTGGCTAAGTCTGTGCTTGTCTGGGGCACGTCTGTGTGCTGTCTACTGTGTGGCCACATTTGCCATGTGTACTTTACAGCTGGGTCCTGCTTATACCTGGCTTAGGTCATACCTGGTTACACCTTTTGTTGTTGTTGTTGTTTTTGTTTGTTTTGTTTTTTGAGAGGTTTTCGCTAAAGGGTGCGTGCGCTCACCAGAAAGACAGAGAGACAGAAAGACAGAAAGTGAGAAATCACCCCCCAGGGGGGATGGCCACACCACAATCCCTTCTTCTCCATTCTCCTCTCGGGATCTTGGGCACTCGTGCACACGTGTCCAGCATGAGTTTAAGCCACCGGGTCCAGGACTTGAACCGCGATCGACTACATGGGGGCCCAGCGACATAGCCATTACGCTAATTGCTGGTCTCATGCTTGGTATATGTTATACCTGGTTAGACCTAGTTTATGTTGTATGTGGTTAGACCTGGCTTATGTTGTACCTGGTTACACCTGCTAAATATTATACTGGGCTATACCTGGCATACGTTAGACCGGTTAGCCCTACTTACCCCTGTGATCACATGAAGGTTGCCAGATCTGCAGGTCATCTGTGGCCAAGGGCATTTGAGGCATGTTGGCTCCTGTGTTGTTTGTCTATGAGGTTGTCTGAGGTCGTTTTTGTCTCCTTGGCTCATCTGGGCCATGTATAAGCTCATCTGATGTCTGGGACCCAGGGTCCCTTCCTGAAATGTCTGAGAACTTATCTGAGTCTTCTCCAGGATGGGTATTGAGGTGCATTCAGGTCACTCACAGCTGAGGCTCAGTCTGGGTCACACCTGGGCCATGTTTTAGACATTCATGAGATCATATTTATATTTTTCTTTTTTGAGAAGTTTTTGCTATAGGGTGTGTGTGCTCGCCAGACAGACAGAGAGAGATAGAGAGACAGAAAGTGAGACATCACCCCCCAGGGGGAATGGCCACGCCACAATCCCTTCTCCTCCATTCTCCTCTCGGGATCTTGGGCACGTACGCACACGCGCCCGGCATGAGTTTTAAGCCACCGGGTCCGGGACGCGAACCGCGGTCGACTATGTGAGAGTCCAGTGACATAGCCATTACGCTAACTGCTGGTGCCTGTATTTATGTATTTTCTTAAAAAATTATATTATGTATTTTTATTCAATACCATTTGTTATTAGTGTTTTTTAAAATTTGACCAGACAGAGAGAGAGAGAAGCAAAGTGAGAAAGCAACCCGCCAGGTCTGGGACTCAAACCGCAGTTGGCCATGTGGGAATCCAGCGTCTTATACCACCATGCCACCCGCCAGCCCCGAGATCATATTTAAACTCTGTCTACGGCCCACCTCGGGTGTACACTGAGATCATGTCAGACTGTCCTAGGTCTATGTCAGATCATGTGGTGTCACATGAGTGCAAGCTATGTATGTTGTAGTTACGGACAAGGGAACCCATGGCTATCCATGTTATATGTTATACCCTAGGTTTATGAGAGAAGTTGAGAGGGCTGGGGCAGACAGGGTTGCCTTAGATCACTGTAACAGCGTTTTGCAGAGAGCTGAGCTGTACTCAGGTGTTGCAGAGCATGTTGGACCATGCGGGAAGAATGTCAGGAGGGGCTGGGGCATGTGGTGCCGTGCAAGGGTGTGCTTTGCTGTCCTGTACAGCCGTGGTCTAGTCCGAGTTCCCCTTGCCATGTTCCCCTTGCATCCCTGCTTCTTCTTGTTCCTGCACGCCTGGCTTCTTTCCTGTTACGCTGGGCTTCAGGGGAAATGCAGACCCATGGCTGGGAGACTCCTTCCCCCACCCAATGTCCCTCCCCAACCCCTCTCCATGGCTCCTGATGGTCCTTGTTCCTGTCAGCTGTCATTGCGCCCAAGGACATGGTCTTCTACAGCTTTCTGAAGCCCTGGCTGGGTAAGTAACTGCAGCTGAAGGGGTTGGGGACAATCTTGGGGACCCGGGGTAGGTGTTGCCCATGTCCACTGTCCATGGTTGCCCTACTAGGGGATGGGCTCCTTCTGAGTGCCGGTGACAAGTGGAGCCGCCACCGTCGCATGCTGACGCCCGCCTTCCACTTCAACATCCTGAAGCCCTACGTGGAGATTTTCAACAAGAGCGCCAACATCATGCACGTGAGTCTCTCTCTCTCTGTCTTTTAAAATGATTTTTAAAATAATTATCTATTCAATTTGACTTATTCATTCATTTATTTTAATTTGGCCAGAGAGAGAGAAGGAAAGTGGGAAAGCAAGCCATCAGATCCGGGACTTGAACCGTGGTCGGCCATGTGGGAGTGTCTGGCACCTTAACCACCATGCCACCTGCTGGTCCCCTGAATTATTTTTTATTCGATTTTATTTATTTATTTTAATTTGACTAGAGAGGTACAAAGTATGAGAAAGAGAGAGAGAGAGAGAAAGTAAGTGAGAAAACAAGTTGCCAGGTCTAGGACTCGAACCATGGTTGGCCACATGGGAGTCCAGAACCCTTTAACCACAATGCCACCTGCCAGCCCCATCATGCATGTGAGCTTCTTGAACTCAGGGTCCTGTCTGGGGTCTCAACAAAGGAATGGCCTCAGACATATGCAGTCTGGAATTTCTTCCCTACTGGATGTCCTTGGAGCCATTATTCTTCCTCTCCAAACCTTGGTTTCCTCATCAGTAAGATGGGTATAATAAAAATCAGCAGGTGGCACGGTGGCTAAGCCATGGGATCTCACAGGGCCGCCTGTGCAGTAAGAGTCCTGGACCTGGCAACTTGAACAACACACGGGGAGGTGGGGGGCAGCAGTTAGTGCAATGGCTATGTTGCTGGACTCCCATGTAGTCAGCCATGGTTCGAGTCCCAGACCCAGTGGCTTAAACTCATGCCAGGTGCGTGTACATGTGTGCCCAAGATCCTGAGAGAAGAATGTAGGAGAAGGGATTGTGGCATGGCCATCCCTCCTGGGAGGTGATTTTTTGCTTTCTGTCTCTCTCTGTCTTTCTGGCGAATGCACACGCCCTACAGCAAAAACCTTTCAAAACAAGCAAACAAATAAACAACAACAACAAAAAAAAACACAACACACTGGGGGTCCAACAGAAGGCATAATGGTCACTCACTGGACTGCCACCAGATGGCCAACCACAGTTTGAGTCCAAGGATCATCGGCTTGAAACTCATGCTGGGCACATAAATCCTGAGAGGAGAGTGGAGGAGGGATTGTGGTATGGCCATCCCCCCAAGGGGGTGATTTTTCACTTTCCTTCTCACTGTCTCTCTCTGGCCAGTCCACACAATATGGCATAAACCTAAAAACCAGAAAACAACAGCAACAATAACAAAGCTTGGCTGTGATTAAAGATTGGACAGAGAGACAGGGGAGGGCACTAGATTGACCTAGAGCACATGAGACTCAGGAGACAGAGCCGGAACTTGAACCTGGATCTCCTGACTCCCAGCCATGGGGTCTTTTCTCCTAATATTGATAGTAGCAGCTTCTTCTTTTTTAAAAAAAGAAAATACTTAATTGAATTTATTTTAATTTGACCAGAGAGTAACAGAGTGAGAGAGAAGGAAAGTGAGAAAACCAGTCACCAGGTCCAGGACTCAAACTGTGGTCGGCCATGAGGGAGTCCAGTCCCTTAACCGACACACCACCTGCCGGCCCCCCACTTCTTTTTTAAAGAGAGAGACTTTTCTTTTTCTTTTTAAATTATTTAACTTTATTATTATTATTTTCTGGTTTGATCAGACAGAGAGAGAGAGAGAGTGAGAAAGCAAGCTAGCAGGTCCAGGACTTGAACCATGGTCGGCCATGTGGGAGTCTAGCACCATGCCACCTGCCGGCCCCCGAGGGATTTTTCTTATAGAGCATGTGCACTCACCAGAGAGACAGAGAGAAAGAAAGCAAGAAATTATCCCCAGGAGGAATGGCCATACTGCAATCCCTTCTTTTTCTTTCTCCTCTTAGGATTTTGGGCATGCACGCATATGTGCTCAGTGTGAGTTTTAAGTTGTAGGGTCTGGAACTCAAACCGTGGTCAACTACATGGGAGGCCTGTGATGTAATCAGTATGCCATCTGCTGGTCCCCGTAGCATCTTATTTACTTAGATTTTTGCTATAGAATATATGTGCTTGCCAGAGATGAAGAAAGGGACAGAGAAAGTGAGAAACCATCCCCCAGGGCAGATGGCCATGCCACAATCCCTTCTCCTCCATTCTCCTCTCAGGATTTTGGGCACGCACGCACATGCGCCTGGCTTGAGTTTTAAGCCGCCAAGTCTGGGATTCGAACCAAGGTCAACCATGTGGGAGTCCACCTACTGGCCCCGATAGTAGGAACGTCTACTCCCACTCAAGCCTGGTCCTCCCTAAGTTTGGGTGTTTGGGGCAAAAGACCATGAAGCTGGTTCTGGGGAGTCTATCCTGCTGGTTGGGGCTGGGGAGGGACTTGAGGGGACCAAGGCCTAGCCTAGCTCTGTCCCCCTTTCTCTGACCAGGCCAAGTGGAAGCGCCTGGCCTCGGAGGGCAGTGCCCGTCTGGACATGTTCGAGCACATCAGCCTCATGACCCTGGACAGTCTGCAGAAATGCGTCTTCAGCTTCGACAGCAACTGTCAGGAGTGAGTCCTTGCCCGGGGCCTGGGAGCTTGACTGTGGGCCTCAGGGAGTAAGTGGAGAAGGGAGGATTGACCAGGGAGATCTGAAGAGCCTTCCCGAAGGAGGTAGGTCAGAACTGGGCAGTAAGGACAGAGAACGGAAGAGAGAGAGTTCGTCCAGGTCAGTGGAATAGTTTGAACAAAGACCAAGAGACTCAGAATGGCGGTTGCAACAGGTTATAGTTTGAGACCTAGACCTGGCGGCTTGCTTTCTCACTTTCTCTCTCTCCCTCTCTCTCTCT